TAAAGCAAATGTAGCCCTGGCTGGAGTAGCTCAGTGGGTTGAGCTCAGCCTGTGAACCATAGTAGCGTCAGCAGTTTGATTCCTTGAGTCCCAGTCAGGGCACAGGCCTGGGTCGCGAGCCGGGTCCCCAGCAGGGGGTGCTCGAGAAGCAATCACACACTGATGTTGCCTTCTTTCTCCCTCCCTTTCCCTCTCTCTAAATATAAATGAATAAAATCTTTAAAAATAATAGAGCAGCCCTGGCTGGCATAGCTCAGTGGATTGAGCGCGGGCCTGCGAACCAGAGTATCGCGGTTCGATTCCCAGTCAGGGCACATGCCTGGGTTGCAGGCCAGTTCCCAGCAGGGGACTCACGAGAGGCAACCACACATTGATGTTTCTCTCCCACTCTTTCTCCCTCCCTTCCCCTCTCTCTAAAAATAAATAAATAAAATATTTAATAATAATAGAGCAAATGTACAAGATAGAACCTGAGCTGGTATGTATATTTACCTCTAGGAGTGGCTTCAATGTTTGCAAGTCTTCATTTCACAGAAAATGTTTTTTAAAGGTTCTGGAGTCAAATCACTTGACTAGATAGTGGTTTACTGTATGATACAGCTTTTACTTTAGCAACACGTATCTAAGTAGCTGCACAGACGGCCCGCATCCTTCCCTGGCAGGCCTCACAGAGGCTGCGCGGCCTGGCTTGCTTCCACAGTGTTCGAAGTCAGTCAAAGCCACGCCATCGTGACACAACAGTGGAGAGGCCACTGTCTTAAATACGACGTTTCTGTATTTTTTCCAATTTCTGAACTGCGGTGAAATACCCACCACACAAATTGACCATTTTAAGCATTTTTAAGGGTACAGTGCGGGGGGCATTAAGTACGTTCATATTTTGTGTGTGGCTGTCACCGCCGCCCATCTCCAGAACTGTTTTTAACCTGGTAAAACCCAAGCGCTGTGCCCATTAACCTCCTGGCGCCCGCTCTCCCTCCCCCGGCCCTGGGCGATCGCGGGTCTACTTCGTTTCTGTGAACTCGGCTACTCGAGGGTCCTTGCAGGGTCAATACCGTCTTGTCCTTCTGTCCGGCTTATTTTACTTCGCAGTGTCCCGAGGGTCCATCCGCGTTGCAGCAGATGTCAGGATATCCTTTTTTAAGGGTAAATAACATAGTCCACTGTATCTAAGTGTCCCATGTATTCATCTGCTCATCCATCAGAAACATCTGTATTTTTAACCATTTGGGAAAGGATTCGTCATCTAGGTGAGTTAGCTCAACGCTCAACGATAAGCCCAAGAAACTACCTGCTCCAGAGAAACCTCTAACGCAAAGATCCTCACTTGCTAAGTCACCTGGTCTGCATCCAACCAGCAAGTTTTGCCGAAAACCTAAAAAGGACTGAAACTACTGCAAACTGTCCATGAGTAACACGGATCAAATCCGGCAAAATATTTGCTGGATTTTACTTGGAACACACAGTTCCAAGTCCCCCTAAAGTTCAGGGCCCAGGAGGTTCAAGAGCATCGCCTAAAAGTCAAAACGGACAGAGAAAGAAAACGAAGCCCACGACATAAACGGTACCTCAGCAGAAAGAAAACCACCCTCAAGTGCAAAGGCCTAGGTGTCTAGAAGGCAGAAGGCGCGTGACACCGCAGCAGCTACCAAACTGAGAGTGCAAGTGAAATAGGAAAAAGGATTTGGGGGAAATTTCTCACAACCATCCAACACTCAACTTGAAACCACCACAGCTCAGCTGACATAAAAAACACTTCAGGAAAATGACAGCATCGAGCTGCAGTGCTCGGCTTCACAGAACAGGCCTCTGCCGGCTCAGCGGACGCTGCAGGGCCCGGCGCAGGCTGCTCCCGGCCCCCAAGCCGAGCCCGCTTACTCACCGGAACATCATGCACCCAGTAGGGGCACACGCGAGGTTCCCACTGTGATATGGTGTGCGGGGGGGGGGGGTCGTCACTACGTACACCACGTGACGTCAGCTGTTTGTTCCTAGTGCTAACACAAAGCAAAGGCTGGTATGTTTTTAAAAGCTTTCTTTATTTACTTTTAAAGGGAGGGGAAGGGTGGGGGAGAGGGTGTGAGAAACATCGATGTGAGAGAGGAAATTAGATCAGATGCCTCTCACACACTCCAAACTGGGGACCTGGCCCACAACCCAGGCCTGTGCCCTGATAGGGAATCGAACCTATGACCTTTCAGAGGCTCAACCAGCGGAGCCGTACCATCAGGGCATCAAAGGTTAATCTTTAAGGGAATGCCAGATGGATTAAAGAGTACAGCTCACATTCAGTCCTGTGCTCCAGGGCTGTTCAACCCCAGTGCTGTTGACATTGGAGGCCCAATACTTCCTTGTCAGAGGAAGAGGAGGGGCTGCCCCGTGCAAGGGGGATGCTCAGCAGGTCTCCTGCGTGGCACCCCCTAGGTAACAGCAGTATCACCACCAGCAAACATGACAACCAAAACTGCATCCTGACATTATCAAACGTCCTTACAAAGTGTTACTGAAACGCTCATTTCAAGCCATTATCCTTAGCATCCTTGGAAGACAGCACGTGGCTGCCTACTCTTCCCACCGGAAAGGTCCTTCACCTTTCAGGGGTGCCCCGCTTCCTCCCTCCACAAAGTGCTGCACACAGACCTCCCAGTCCTTACCTTGTTTTTAACTTAATTTTATTTACTTTTAGAGAGAAGAGGAGAAACAGGGAGAGAAACATCCACATAAGAAACGCCAATTGGCTGCCTCCCACTCACGCTCCAACAGGGAACCAAACCCACACCCCAGGCCTGTGCCCAGGCTGGGAAAGGAACCAGTGACCTCTCCCTCCACCCACCCCGGTCAGGGCCAGACCTGACCTTTGTGACTGTCTCATCGTTAGCTGCTGTGCTACCAAGACCCTCAACAAGGAACTCCAGGCATGGTGAAACGTGCACATGCGTTGTGAAAGCCCTCGAGACTACAACTGCATTGTGGACGCAGCACAGACATGAGGAAAGCTGCAGATAGGGCAGTCCTAGGGCGGTGCCAGGCCCCCTGCTGGAGGAGGGCGTTGGGATTGTGCAGGGACAGGAAGGAGAAGGTGGGCATCAGCACCAGAGCTGGACAAACCAAGACACTAGGCTGGAAAAAAAGACACCTCCTAGAACTAATAAGCAATTACAGCAAGGTTATAGGATACAAGATTTCATACATACAGGTCCATCGCTTTTGCTCTGGCCAACTGGCTCAGTTAAGAGCGTTGTCCCGATATGTCAAGGTTTCGGGTTCCATCCCCAGACAGGACAAATGAAAACCAACCAATCAATGCACAAATAAGTGAAACAGAACCACATTTTTCTCTCTCTCTCAAAATTATTTTATAAAGGTCAATCGCTTTCCTTTATGCCAACAATAAACAAGTAGAAGCTGAAATGAAAAACGACTCATGGACTATCTAATCACCTTCGGTTTTCTTTTCTCTGCCTCCTACCAACTGCCTTTTGACTCACTGCTCCTGGGCCTATCTGTTGAGAGGCCAGAGCGCAAAAAGGAAGTGAAGCTCAGTTAATCTCGCTGCACTTGCAGCTCCGCTGAAAGGCTGGGCGCAGACAAGGAATCGAATAACTAAAAGTGGGTTTCGGATTATCAGTGGCGGCCAGCCAGCCAGATGTTAGATGCTGCCCTCAACCTGGTCAGCCATTTAGAAGAAAACTCGGCCCTGGCGTGGTGGATGAGTTGGTTAGAGAATCTTCCCCACACACCAAGGTTGCAGGTTTGATCGCCCCCTGAGGGCACATCCGAGAATCAGCCAGTGGCCCTGGCTGGTGTAGCTCAGTGGATTGAGTTCGGCCTGTGAACCAAAGGGTTGCTGGTTCAATTCCCAGTCAGGGCACACACCTGTGCTGTGGGCCAGGTCCCCAGTAGGGGGCACGTGAGAGGTAACCATACATTGATATTTCTCTTCCTCTCTCTCTCCTTCCCTTCCCCTCTGTCTAAATATAAGTAAATAAAATCTTTTTTTAAAGATTTTATTTATTTATCTTTAGAGAGGAAAGGGGGAAGAGGAGAGGGGGAGGAATATCAATGTATGGTTGCCTTTCGTGCGTCCCCTGCTGGGAACTGGCCTGCAACCCAAGCATGTGCCCTGACTGGGAATCGAACCGTGATCGTGTGGTTCGCAGGCCCAAGCTCAATCCACTGAGCTACACCAGGCAGGGCCTAAGTAAATAAAATCTTTGAAAGAAAAAAAATCAGTCAGTGAATGCATCAATAAAGGGAAAAACAAACCGATGTTTTTCTCTATAGAAATAAAAAATTTAAGATACTAATAAAATAAAACTCACAGAAAAACACAACATAGTTTTAAAGGTCTAAATACAAGGCCACACACTAAGTGGTTCTCTCAAGAGAAAAGGGTGGAGACAAAAATCAAGAGGGTCTTTATGTGTTCCTGTTAAGTGTGAATATGCGCAGACATATTGATGGTTAAACTAAAATCTGTGGTCACAAACTTTTAACCTTAAAATAAAGGGGGGAAATTCTACTTTACTCCTAGTCAACGCACCTAACGTGTCTGAACAGCGTCACTGGGGAATGAGCAAACGTTCCCCCCTCGGCCACTAGCAAATGACTCTTTCAAAGAGAAAAAAATCAAATCACAGACTCGAGAAACTAGAAATATAAGTTATCACGTGATTTTTTAAAAACCCAGCCATAACATCACTCCTTCGTTTAAAGTCCTAAACCGCAAATGGACTTTCTAGACATATGCACAAAACGTACTTCGTGATCGAACGGTATTGTTCTCCCTAGAAAAGACTTGTTTTCCCACGAAACCGAAAAGCCTGCCTTTTGGAAGGTCTTGAGCGTCTGCAGGCCTATTTCGCGAGATTTGGCTTGGATTTCACAAGCGTTCGGGAAAAGTAGCTTTTTTCGCCCGCCCCCGCACCCCTACCCGGATAGCGTCACCTGACCTGCTAGCGGCCGGCCGTGCCCCCCCCCCCTTCTGCCCAGCCACGGACCTGATGACACTGATGTGAAATTGGTCCTCACGAAGGCCCCGCCAGACGCCGGGCAGGAACTCCTTGCACCACAGATAGGCCCTGCGCCGCGTCCGGGGCTCGGGTTGCTCGTCGGCTGGCGGCGGCAGTGGCGGCGGGAGCAGCGGCAGCGGAGGGGGCGGCGGCGCGGGCAGTGCGAGCGGAGGCTGCCGGCCGCCCAGCTGCTTGGGCTCCAGGTCGCTGGCGGCGTCGCGCTGCTGCCCCACGCCGGGCGCGGGGGTCGCGCTGGTGCTGCTGCAGCCTAGCAGCAGCCCGAGCGGTGAGGGCTCCGCCTCGCCCCCGTTGCAGAACTTGGTCTTCATGCCAGGCAGGCGGCGGAGGAGAGGCGGACCGCGCAGGAGATGCGGGCGGCCGAAGCGGCAGAAGACGAGGATCACGGTCCGGCCGGGGGACCCCCTCAAGGAGGCCGAGGGGGAGGCCGCTGGCCGGCGCACAGACCAGCCGGGGGTCAGGCAGCGGCGGTTGGGGGCGCGCCGGGTGGGCAGCAGCGGGCAGGCACCGGTAGACAGTGGTGGCGCAGACACGGCGAGCTGCTTCTCGTGGCAGCGACGGCTCCTGGCTAGCGGAGCTGGCCGAATCGCTTGCTGGTATACCGCCGCCGCACGAGGAGCGCCAGCCGCGTCACTGCCCGCCCTCGAGCTCGCTGCTGATTGGCCGCTACCCGCCGCCTGGCGCGTCACAACCGCCTCCGCCCTCGGGACACAGTCTCCCCATTGGCGGCGGCTCCAGGCTCTGTGGCCTGGGGGAGGGGTGGGCCTGCCGGGGTGGGGGAGGAGGGGCGGGGAGTCCAGCAGGCGGCGGGGGTCTTAGGGACTGAAAGAAGCGTGGGAGGCCCTGGGGGCTCATGAAGAGGTGGGTGGGGCAGGGAGCTGGTGCCCGGGCGGGGGCGGCCTGTGAACCTGGAGGTCGCCGGGTGACTCCTGGATGGGCTTTGGGGGTCGAAACTTTCCTTGGATTCCTCGGATCCTCAGGACTTTGGAGGCCGGCGCCTGGCGCAGGGCAGGCAGGAAGCTGATGCCCGGAGGCTGGCTCCTCTTCTCGCATGACCTTGGGACGGAGCACCTGGTCTGCAGCTCCGTGGGGGTGATTTTAAACATCTCCCTGCGCGGAACCAGCCCTGTAAGAGAGTGCGGCCAAGCCTCTTTCAAGCTGGAGACAGAGAAATGATTGTCACCGGCTCAGAAACAGAGGCCCAAAAGGGGGGAGTGGGGACCGGTTTCAGGCTGTACAGTCAGCTGCAGCCTCAGTTTCCCTATCTGTGGTGCTAGAGTCCTCAGGGGCGGGGAGGGGGCATCCCGCAGCAGGGCCGTGTCAGCATCCCGGCACGCGGGGCAAAGGCGAGTGTCACAGGACTGCTGCATTTGTGGATGCCGCCCCACCCGCCCCTGTGCGGGAGGCAGCCGCGTGACCGAGACTAACGCACCTCTGCCCCGGGCTCATGCCCCTGTCTGCTGCAAACTCCCTTGTGTCCCTCATTCTTCAATCCGACCACTCCAATCATTTCTGGAAGTTAAGTGGGGTACAGAAAAACATGAAAATTACAAATTCTGTTTTACGGGATGTGAGATGGGCAAGAGGTTTCCTGGCTGCTTAGAAAATTCAGCGCCTGGTACACAGGAAATGTAGGAATTTCCCAGTCTGCTCCAGCAAAAATCTGTTTATACAGGGTGTACTTGGCTGAACTTGCTAAAAGAAAAATAGTCTCCATTGAACAAAAGGGTTATAATGAAAGAGGACTTCTGACTAGACAGCTGTGGGACTGGACCTGGACGGGGCGCTGGACCGAGCCCCCAAGTGGCCCAGGCATTTAGCTGGGAGATGGGGTGGGAGCCCCACTGGATATTTGAAAAGCTGAGAAATCAAGGTCTCCAGTCTGGCCATTTAGATAAGGGAGCCAAGGACTTTGTCTAAAAATACCAGCTGGCAGCAGAGGGGTGGGGCCTGCCCTTTGCCTGCCCCTCCGCCACTCTCTGGCACCAGCCCCGTCATGTCAGGAATGCCAGCAATCCGACCAGGAGGAAGGGGCACTAGAAGTAAGGGTTGGGCCTCTCATTTGGAATAACTTGTTCTGGTGTCTGCTGGTTTGGGCTCTTAGAAACCACAGGCGCCTTTATGGAACTGCGGTTCCCTGTGGGAGTAAGAGGTTACCTCATGAAAGATGTTGGAAACATTTTATCTGTTATTGCTTTTATTTAATAGATGTGTAGACTTGGAGGCAGCACGCCTAGGCCAAAGCCGTCGGCTAAGGGACCGGCCAGGCGGGTGTCCTGGCTCTTTTGTGTGAAGAGCATGGCTTCCAAATGGACACTAAACTGCCCTCCCCTACAGTCAAACTGGAGTCAGGGCCCGCCCCTAGGGGGTGGGCTGCGGCCAGACCACTGGCTGGTGGCCAAGACTGAGACCCAGAAAGTTCCACATATAGTAATGCTAAACTAGTAGATTTTACATGGGAAAAGACTCTGCCTGTGGAAGTAGGGGAAGCCTCCCAGGGGGTGTTTGAGCAGGGCTTCGGCAGACGAAAGGCGTTTACCGGGTAGACGGGAGCCTCCTGCTGTTTACCTCTGCATTGGGTATAATCGCATTGGGCATAATCATTCCACCTTGCCAGGCACCTGTAGGGATGTTTAATGGAGGTAAGGCCTGGAACATGGTAGGTGCTCAGGAAAAGTGCCAGACACACACAGTTTTTCCAAAAGGAGAAACCCAGGGAGATACATGCACTTAGGACTCAAGCTGCCAACCCCATTCCCAAGATTTTCTCCCAAGAAAAGACATCATCATCGAAAGCAAAAAGCCCCACGCAGAAAAGTGTCCATCTCACATTCCCTCCAACTGGAGAAGGCTGGAAGCAGCCTGATTCCCAGGCCCACATGCTGGTGTGTCAGGCGGAAGTTAAACGAGGCCACCTTGAACTTGGCGGGAAGGGTTCATTTTCTGCACATTCATCGAGTGCCAGCCACAGAGCTCAGCAGATCTATCCCCAGGGAAGGATGTCCACACCAATAGAAAACCATTTATTTGAGCCAAATTTTCGAGGACCTGCCCAAAGCAAGGTCTCCACTGGTTGGGAAATAAATGTTCTGGAGGATGGCAGCTTTGCAGCTCATTCTGTACTTTAGAGTGAAAGAAGACAGAAGGTGGTCATGTGAAATCCACGGGGAGGGGGGGGGTAGATTGAGGGGGTGGGAGAAACCAGAGCAAGAAAATCTCTAGGACTGGGGAAAAGGGAGAGACATCCTTCCTTCCCCTTGGCTGGTACAGGACGGGTAGTGGTAACGGCACAGGGAAGCGGCGTGCAGACACCAAGGTAACAACGAGGAGTTCCGTAGTCTCGGGTTTTCATGGGGTCTGTGCTCCGGTGCAGCTGGTTTTGCCCCAAGGGGTCTGGGAAAGACAATTACTCAAACAATTCAAAGGTGTGTTGTCCTAGAAGAATAAGAACAGTGGACAGCGCTCACTTAGGGTGAAGATGAACCTTTGCTAAGGAAGCTACGGGCCTGGACATGACTCCCGCTGTGGCCCGCCCAGTTAGGAATCTGTGATCAGACCTTCTCATGGTTCCTGAGCTTGCCAGGCCTGCCAGGGAGCCCCTGAGCTTGTCGGGTCTACCGGGTCGCTTCCCTTTTGTTCACAGCGGCAGAGAGAGGAAAACAGCTGTGCCCGGCTCCGGCTCCCATCCAGAATGGCAACACTGCCCAGCCTGCCGGCTCCCTCTCCCCTCCCCCTTGTTTGTTTTTGTTTATTGTGTATTGTCTCTTCCTCACCCCCACCCCCAGACTGGGACCTCCAGGAGACTGGGGACTTCTCACAGTTTGTTCTCTGCCACAGGGCCCAGGGGAGCAGGAGCCCCCGGTGGTTGAGACAGGAGTGTGCTGCGCAGCCCAGCTCCTGTGCCAGGGGCTGGCACTCAGAGAGGAATGCGCACACACTTGTAGCACCTCAGCCTGGGAAGGCAACGTTGTGTAAGAAAATAGTTCAAATTGGAATATGCGCTCTGATCACCAGAATGTCGCCATTCAGGTGGAAGTGGCGGCTCCACCCAAGGCTTGGAGAGCAGTTTGCTGTGGCTGTTACTTATGCCGGGGAGAGGGTGTCCCATACCAGCGCTTTACTTGTAGGACAGAAGAAAAAAAATGTCTGAAAGCTCTGATGCTGAATTCTGAGATGATATACGGAGGGTGTGGGCCACCCGGCTCAGGAGGGAGGCGGAGGGGAGGGGACAGGTTGGGAAGTCCCTGGCATTCCCGCAGACTGGTTCCTTTGGTCTGGCCTGAGGGGCTCTCCAGGGCCTCTGGGCAGACCAGGGCCCCCACCAGGGTACGGAGGAGTCTACCTATGGGCCCCAGCCCTGCCCCCAACTCCAGCTGCAAGGCCCGTTCCAAGGAAGGGCTTTGTGAGTCTATGAACCCCCAATGGAGGGACCACTTGGCAGGTACTTGGACAGAGGAGGCCAGGGCCCAGCCCTGTACCATATTCAGCATCTTCAAACGTTCATGACCTTCAGTGAGGTCAGTGTAACTAGCACTGCATCTTCCAGGTGAGAAGGCTGAACTTTACCAGAAGATGAACCCTTCCGTCCAAAGCAGACAGCTAGGTGAGAAACCCAGGGACTCTCCGGGGCTTCTCCCTCCGAATGCAGGGAGACTTCATCCTTCTGCGCCAAATCACCTTTGGCCCGGGAAGCCCTAGATGCTTGGCCCAGCGGGGGCTCACCAGAGGGCTGGAGAAGCAGAGCCCCTGCTGGGCTGTGCGCCCCACCCCTGCCCAGCTCCACCCAGGACCAGGCACCTTACTTCAGTTCTGAGCCTTAAAATATTGATGTGAGCACAGAGAGGCCAATGGGCTGAAACCCTCTGTGCTGACGATTGGGTTACAAAACGATAGGGATCCCTTGCACAGAGCTCAGGTTTGGCCCCACCCCCGGGATCTAGCGAGGGACAGAGCAGCCCAGTCTCTGAGCCCAAGCCTAGTCTGCTTTGGTGGCCTTCTTCTGTCACGTAAGCAGCCTAAATGCCTTGGGGCCCAGGTGGGGGCCTAGGGCCCAGAAGGTTTAACACATGCAGGTGATTTGAATGCCTACGTGTCCTCTCTGTGGGTAGACTGGACAGGCCCTCCCCAAGGCCCATTCGCAGGGAGCCTGGGTATAGCATTAGGGGTGAACACCTCTGTTTGGAGCTTTTATCTCCACCCACTGTGTGACCTTTGAGGAAAAAGTGCAGAAATAACAGGCCCTCACCATGTTTCTGAATTTACTAAAACCAGGTAGACTGAGGTCTGAGGAACCGATTTCATTCTTGCTTTCATTAGTCTGGGCCATTAAACTTGAATTTCCCAGTTGTACATCCAGGCCGGGAGATAAACAGAAATCCTAGAGATAACCACGTGCAGAAGTTACAGAAAAGTGCTCACGCGTCCAGACTGCCGGTCATTGTGGGCATCGCCACCCTGGACCGGTCCAGAGACTAAGCATTCTGGACTGATTCTCCCCACGAACAGAAAGGGCCTCATGCTCAACCCGGCGAGCTCAGGGGAGGCCTGCGTGGCGGCCTTACAAACTCTGAGACCCAAGTAACCACATAGGATGGTCGGAAATTAAAACTCTAACTCAATGAAGG